CTTTTCACGAGCAATCACCTTTGTCAACATATCAGCAGGGTTATCAGCAGTTCCAATTTTTAATAAACGAATATCCCCTTTGCTAATAATTTCTCGAATAAAGTGAAAACGGACATCAATGTGTTTTGTACGATCATGATAGACTTGATTTTTTGACAAGCAAATAGCGCTCTGGCTATCACAAAATACATCTATATGTTCCTACAAAATACCCAAGTCATTGATCAAACCATGTATCCAAATAGCTTCTTTAAAAGCTTCCGTTACTGCCATATACTCTGCTTCAGTGGTAGACAATGCAACAGTAGACTGCAATGTTGAACGCCAACAAACAGGTTCACCAGCCATAGTAAATAAACAACCCGTAGTAGAACGTCGCTTATCCAAATCACCAGCATAATCAGAATCCACATAACTAGCTACACGATTGTCAAGATTAAACATTTCTTGTTTTTGAAACTTAAATACCAACATCAATAGTGCCAAGAATGTACCTAAGAATTCATTTTACAGCCTGCCAATGCTCTTTACCAGGATTATGCATATAACGACTCACCATGCTTACTGCGTGTGAAAGATCAAGTCGAGTACGCACCATAGCATACATCAACGCACTAACAACATTTGTATAAGGAATGTTCTCCATATACCTTTTGTCATCGTCAGAACTTGAACACATGGAAGCACTAAGCTTGAAATGAGAAGTAAGTGGAGTACTAACGGGTTTGGTTGAATTATTCAAACTAAATCTTGACAATACCTTGCGTAGATATTGAGACTGAGTCAACCAGATTGTACCTTTTTTCCGATCTCGCTCTATCTCCATTCCAAGTATTTTCTTTGCATTGACTAAGTCTTTCATTTCAAATGTTTTAGAAAGTTCATCTTTGAGCTTATCAATCTCCACCTGTCTCTTTGAAGCAATTAACATATCATCAACATATAAGAGCAAATAGATAAACGATCCATCATCGAGACACCGATAATACACACAATGGTCAAATTGACTATGAGTATACATATGCTCTACCATGAAATGATCAAACCTTTTATACCATTGGCGAGGGGATTGCTTCAGCCCATACAAAGATTTCTTCAATCTGCATACTAAATGTTGTTGTCCAACTACTCGGAAACCAACTGGTTGCGTCATATATATTTCTTCTTCCAAATCTCCATGCAAAAAAGCAGTTTTTACATCGAGTTGTGCAAGCTCAAGATTAAATTAAGCAACCAAAGCCAACAAAATTCGAATGGAAGAATGTTTTACCATAGGTGAGAAAATTTCATTGTAATCAATACATTCTTTTTGTGCATAGCCTTTAGCCACAAGTCGAGCCTTATAACGTATACCAGAAGAGTCTTCCTTTTTTGCAAACCCATTTACAACCAATTTCCTTCTTACTTTTTGGGAGTTGTACCAAATCCCAAGTTTGATTTATCTCCAATGATGCTATCTCTTGATTCACAGCCTCTTGCCAGTGTAAGCTATCCGGGCTCTGAATAGCATCTATGTAACTGTTAGGAACTCCATCAATCAAAGAGAAAGCATATGCTATCGTATCATCAAACCTTGCAGGTTTTCGAATTACCCTTCGTGGTCTATTCTTGGCGATTGACTCTAGTTCCTCCACTCTTTCATTTACAAGGCTTTGCTCCTCAAGACTTTGCTCTTTCTGTTCTAAGACATCAAAGTTATTATTTACCTGATCAATAGGTTCTTCAGTAGGAGCAACCACATCAGGAGAGAACACCACACCACCTTCTCCACCTGCTTCAATGCCTCATCATTATTTTCACTTTTTTGCAAAAACATTCCAAGACTCATCGAATGTCACATCTCGACTATTAACAATCTTTTTTGTTTCTGGACACCATAACCTATAGCCCTTCACACCTTTGCTAAAGCCCATAAACTTGGCTTTTTTTGCTCTAGGATCTAGCTTTGAGTCTGTCACATGATAATAAGCAGGACACCCAAACACATGCAATTTATCATAATCACTAACAGGACTACCTGACCACACCTCAAGCAGAGTTCTCCCACCGTTTCCAGAAACATGTAAACGATTCACCAAGTGAACTGCATAACTGAGAGCTTCAGCCCAAAATGCCTTACTCAATCCTACTTGAGACAATATGCATCGAACCTTCTCTATTAATGTCTGGTTCATTCTCTCAGCAACTCCATTTTGGTGTGGCTTACCAGGAACAGTGAAGTGTCGAACGATCCCTTCGTCTCGGCATACTTTAAGGAACGGATCATAAGTATATTCTCCCCCATTGTCTGATCTCAGCTTTTTGATTTTCCTGTCCGTCTAATTCTCTACCATTTTCTTCCACTCTAGGAAGATTTGGAGAACCTCGTTTTTGTGCCTCATGGGATACATCCAAACTCTCTTCGAGTAGTCATCAATAAAGGTGACAAACCACCTCTTTCCTCCCAATGAGACATTCTTTGTGGGACCCCATACATCAGTGTGAACATAATCCAAAATGCCCTTTGTTTGGTGTATAGCTGTACCAAACTTCACATTTTTTGTTTACCAAATATACAATGTTCATAGAAATCAATTTTTCCAGTTGTGGCACCCTTAAGGACTCCTTGGTTCACCAATGTCTGAAGCGCCTTCTCACCAGCATGCCTGAGTCGCATGTGCCATAATTTTGATATGTCTTGTTCTTTCGAACTTGCCACAGCAGCATGCCCAATTATTGTGGTTCCGTTGAGGTAGTATATGCTACCTCTTCTAGTTCCTGTAATTGCCACCAAAGCTCCACGAGCTACTTTCAAATTCACTCCTTCCAAAATGATGCGATAACCACTCACATCCAAAACGACAAGTGAAATCAAATTTTTCTTCAAGTCAGGGACATACCTCACATCTTTGAGTTTTCGTATAACCCCATCAAACATCTTGATTTGTACTGAGCCAATTCCCATTATCTCGCAAGTACTATCATTGCCCATATAGACAACTCCACCATTGAACTTTTTGAAGTCCAAAAACATCTCTTTGTTGGGATACATATGATAGGAGCACCCAGAATCCAATCCATTCACTGGTTTGGCGGGCTGATAGGGAGATTGTCAAGGCATCATCTGTATCAGTGTCGTCATCTCTAACCACATTGGACTTCGACCCCTTCTCTTTTAAGATCGAACAATCTTTTTTCCAATGGCCTTTCTGTCGACAATATGCACACTCATTTTTAGCAAATTTTCTCCAATTATCAGATCTACCTCTCGACTTTAATCGAGACTCTCCACATTCGTTCCTTTTCCAAGTAGAAGTCCTTCAATGAGAAGTGAGAACATTTGAGCTAGAGCTTTGATACGCCTCCTTTTCCTTCTTTCGCATCTCATTGTTTATTAAGGCATTTGAAACATCTTCAAAATCAATATTAGTGATTCCATGTAGTAGGGTCGTTACTAAAAACTCGTAGGATTCTGGCAAAGAGTTTAATAACAACAAAGCCTTGTCCTCGTCATCAATCTTAACATCAAGATTGAGCAAATCAGTGATGATTTTGTTAAAATCATCCAAATGCTCAGCCATTGAGATACTTTCCTTGTAGTCAAAACGGAAGAGTTTCTTCTTCAAATAGAGTTTATTTTCCACACTCTTCTTCATATATTTTGCTTCAAGCTTGTCCCATAATTCTTTCGCCATGGTAACCTTCATAAATGGATATTTCTGATCCTTGCCAAGACAGAATCGAATAATTCCACAGGCTTGCCGATTTAATTTCGTCCATTCTGCTTCTGTCATGTCTTCAGGCATCTCCACTTGGAGAGAAATATCGAGGTCTTGCATGACCAGCAAATCGCTAACTTCGCCTCGCCAAACACCAAAATTATTGGTTCCATCAAATTTCTCTACTTCGAGATTGGAACTCCACACTCTCGATCCACGTTGAAATGGTTCTGTCATTTGCAATAATTAATCTGGATGTAACTCAAAAACACAATTCTTGAAAATTGATTTTCAAGAGAATGAACACGATTGTGAGCACGTCTAATGGTCGATGAGGCCCAAACTTTCACAATACCCCCAAATACCACAGTAAGGCTCTGATATCACTTGTTGAGCGCCGAAAGCGGAACAAATGTACTCATAACACCAAAGTTACTCAAGACATACAATATGACATTCAAAACTTGATGATTTCAACCGCAGAAAGAATGGCATTACACAGCCTTCTGCTAAACCTAAAGATAAACTAACAAGCCTAAAAATATTAGTAAGGCCTTGAGAATAGGTCTTGGTCCTAGAGAATAGGGCTTATGACAGTGTTCAACAGAAAAGACATAAAGGGTTGAGCTTGTCATGGGCATGCGGCCATGGGCAACTTTTGTTCGTTATGTATTGCCCTCACAATTTTAAAATGCATTTACGAGTAGAAGTTTCCATACACTTATAACACGCCTACCTAGTAGACATGTTTTAAGACCGTGAAATTGACGACGATGCGTAACGGACCAGAACAAACAATATCTTCCAAGAGTGGGCTCAGGGGTTATATATATATATTGTGTGTAAACATAAACGCAGATAAGAAGAAGCCAAGTGTGGTGGGGAAAAGGGTATGTCTCAGAAAAACAAGAGCGAGAGACAAATCAGAAGGTAATTTCTTTTCCCTTTTTTAGAGTCTCGATATAAAATTTTAAACTTTGATTTTAATTTTTATTTAATAGAGTAGTTAGGCCTGCTCTATAACTAAGTTTTTTTTGTAATTAATTAATATTTTCAAACCCCCAAAACGGTAATTAATTAAGGACTCATGTTCTCGGCTTTTAGTAGAATTAGCAGGCCGGCCGACAGACAAAGATTTCTCTTTTCTTGTGTGTTCTGTTTTATAAACAAACCATTCCAACAGGGTTTTGCCTGAAAAGAAGAGTGTTCTGTGTGTTTGAGCTTTCTTTTTTAACCTCACACTTTCCCTTTTGTTGTTCAACGCATTCTGGGATTTTGATGAAGCTTACAAACACACCGTTAATGGAGAGTGGAGAAGTTCGAAGACTTCATGTCGTTTATTTTCTTAGCCGGATGGGACACGTGGAGCAACCCCACCTCATCCGTGTTCATCATCTCCCCCGTCGCGGCGGCGTTTATCTTCGAGGTATCAACTTTGTTTTCCTCTTTATACCAATCTAATTCATGTTAAGAATTGTTGGAGAAGAGTCCGATTCTTCTTCATATTATTATGGAGAGTCGTTACAATTCATTTGATAATTTTATTAGTTGATGAAACCATAGGACTCTATGCTTCGTCAGAAAAGGGCATGATAGCTATTTTTTTCTATATAACAGGATTATTAGTTACTCGTTGGATTTATTTGAGGCATTTAGCCTTAAGTGATTTATATGAATCATTACTATTTCTTTCTGGGGTTTCTCCATTATTCGTCTATTTACGTATTTTGCACCCAGTACTATTTTTACCCAAGGATTTGCTACGTCAGGTTTTTGAACTGAAATGCATCAATCCCCATTATTAGCTCCCTCTCTCCAATCTCATTGATTAATGATGCACGTAAGTATGATGGTATTGGGTTTTGGTATAAGAGTCATGGCCTTAACTTAGCAATGTCAATAGAATCTTCAAATGTCAAACAAAGAAGTTGTGAGTCTCGAAGATGTAGTCAAAAGTGACTTTGTTCGAGCACTCCAGAGAAGGATTTGTAATTTCTAACCATTCATTAATGAAACGAGTTTTATTTATTGTGTGCGGTGAAGACGTAAAGAGGTGGCTAGGGGAATTGAGAGGGAAGGCGATGCCCGAAGCGTTCGCGTGGTCATACAAAAGGCAAGTCAAATTATTTTTTAAAAATAATATGAGAGAGAGGAGAATTAATTGGAGTGAGAAAATGCAGAAAGTACAGAGCAGGGTACGTTTGGCAAGATCTGGTGGATGACGATCTCATAACTCCAATTTCTGACAACGAATATGTTCTTCAAGGATCCCAATTATATCCCACTGCTTTTTTTGGTAATTTCTACTCGTGACCCTTTTTTTTTTTTCATTTTTTTCTTCCCATTTTCTTCATGTTCATATCTTTTCCACAGATAATTCTCGCCTCTGTTCTTCCTCCACGCAAACAAAGGATTTGGATGCTTATGAAGATTCGGAGCGATCCATGGTGACCGACGACGGAGATTCTATGAAGGTTGAAGAACGGGCTAAGAACTTGGAGGTAGCCAAACAGGGAATTGTAGAACGTACCATGCAGAAGGAAGGTAATGATCTTTAGTATGATTTGTCCATTTTGTTTGTATTCCTTACTTATAAACTTATGTTTAACCCATTAATTAGATATAAGGATGTTAATATTGTATTGAAATCTTTGAACAGGTGAACCCATGTCAACAGTTTCATCGGCTTCGTCGTCATCGGAGCAACATGCATTTACAAAGAGCAAGAGCTACTCAAGTGGAGCTTCTACCATGCTTCGTCAATGGATTACGTGCGGGGCGATAGATACAGACGACTCCGTTTTGATCAAGAATCCATCGCCCAAAGATTCATCATTGGAAAAACCTAAAAATGGCGCCGTGTTTTGTAGAGACGACGAGATGGGTGGCTCAGCCCGAGTTCAACGAAATTCTTGGGATGGGAACCTTGAGCTCTCCTGCCAACATAGCCAACAAAATTCTCGGTAATTTATAAACTTCAAGTCATAATTGTTAGGAATTACAAATCTCTATAACGGTATGATATTGTTCACTTTCAGCATAAGCTATCATGACTTTGCTCTCTCATGACTTTGCTTTGGGCTTCCTCGAAAGGTCTTTACTTAAAAACCCTTGATGATTCCCTAAATTAACCAAACGTGGACTCCCTCCCAAAAATTCTCCCCTCGAACAAAGTACAACATAGAGCCTCCCTCGAGGCCTATGGAGCCCTCGAACATCCTCCCCTTAATCGAGGCTCAACTCTTTCTCTTGAGCCCTCAAACAAAATACACTCTTTGTTCGACACTTTAGTCACTTTTGACTACACATTCGAGGCTCACAATCATTTGTTCGACATTTGAGAATTCTACTGACATAACTAAGTTTAGAGCATGACTTTGATCACAATTGTTAGGATCGTACAACAACACACACTCAATGTAAATGAAACACAAATAACAGAGAAAGAAAATGCAAAGGCTAAAAATTTAATCTCACAGAAAAAGTTTGGATGATTCAAGGAAGAAGAGGCAGAAAGAGAGCGGCGGGGGAAAGGTGGCAGTGACTCACAAGCCGATGGCAGGACCGAACTGCTCGTAAGTTTGATAGATTTGATTTTGACGAAAATGGGTTTGAGTTTTCTTTCGTTTGTCAACGCCAAAAAGTCAATGCAGGCTATGTGGGAAGAGTTTCAAGCCAGAGAAGATGCATTCACACATGAAATCGTGTAAGGGACTCAAGTCGCTGACCAAGACTGCTACGACATCGACGAAGTCAAAGTCAACCACAGCAAAATCTTCGGACAAGGAACTGGTTTCCACGTACCTGTTGACCAACTAGGACAGCTCTCCATGGAAGGAAGAAAGAAGGTGAAATATTGGGCCAAATATGAACTCAAATCAGTGTTTAATGAAACAGAATTTGAAACCCTCCAAGAGTAGTTCCTTTGCAGCCTCTTACTAAGCCATTCTGTTCATGCCACGCTTCCCCTTTTTTGAAGTATGTGAAATCTCAGTGTACTTAAAATCAGTAGACCATTATTGTTCTTATGCCCTGTTGTTGTCCAAGATGGAATCAGCTCAAGGAATTCAAGGTTGCGTGTGCTTTAAGACTGCTCTGCCAATGGAATGGACCAGCGCTAACTTGCTTTGAAGACTCCCACAGCTCTGTAAATAACCTGCAACACAAACACAAACAAAAAAAGGGGATATAAAACAAACCAACTACTATAATAGCATATCTATTCTCCTATGACATAGTCACGTTACTTACTTCTCGCTTCTTAAGAGTAAAAGACTATCCCTACAAATCAACACGAGTCCTTCGAGTATATTTTGTCTCATATTTATTTAAGAACATTTCGAGAAGGTCACTCAACATAGAATTGTTTCAAGTAAAGTATTCTTAACCACGAAATTTTTGTGATTGAGCCACCGAAAAGGAAGGTGTATGTTGTTGTTATAGATCGTGACTTTATTCTTTCAAGTCTTTAGTAATCCTCTTTCCTAAAGATCGCTCTTATTCAAATGTTGTCTTAATTCATTTATGTACCCTCCTTTACTCGAATGTCACATAAAAAAAACTTCTAAGCAGTACAAGTAGAGATAATCATCCATTATTTTGTACCGAATATCGATTAACTTCAACCCGACAATAATGATTAATTTTAAGACTTATTGAAAATATATTAACTAAAATTGAACATGTGAATCCATCCATTTCAAGTATATAAACTAAAATATGATTTGGAACATTTTTTCTACTAACAATACTTGCCTATACACAAAAATGAATAGATACTCATTTTTACCAATACGTAGGCAAATATTTTTATTTCTCCATCCTCATTTTTCACTTTGCACCATCATCCAATGGCATAGAGTATTTGAGAAATTATACGTTCTTTAGTTCTTAGTTCGGTTCTTAATCAATCAAAAGAACTTTAAAATGAGTATTTATCTTGAGTAGGACAACTTAAAAATGAATATTTGTCTCGGGTGGGATAACTTGGGATTAAAAAACAAGATATATACGTTAGATATTAATAAAAATTCAACTTTTACCTAATTAGGATTGGGGATCTAAGAAAACACAACAAAAGAAGAAATTTATGAAACCCAGTTGAAGCAAGCAAAGGGCAACATCTCATTACTACTCAATTCATTTGAATGAAAAGATGTTTGGTAATACTTTAAAAACAACACCAACCCACAACCCTTTTTCCAATTTTCAGCTGACTTCTGACCATTTTTTTCCTCAGCTGTAAAGAACAAACAATCTAAAAAACAAAGACTTTGCACCTTTTGAAATGCCTTTAAAACTACCACCTTCATTGTTTGCTAAGCAATCTTTAGTACATATATATAGAAGGGCATGTAACACATGGCCTATGGCCTTTCCATTTCTGAGGCAATGGAGAGTGAGAGCATTTCTCATAAACACTATTATGATATCTCCATGTCAAAGAGAACAAGAAAGCCAGCCAAAATTCAGGATGAGCTTCAAAATCTCACACCGAATAACGAAGATCTTAATGTTGATAATAGAGATCGATTTGGGAGTCCTACAACAAAAGGGTTCGAGAACAACGAACATAAAAGCTTGAAGCAACTCATGAATGAAGAAGAGAAAGCAGAGACGAGGTTGGGGGAAGACGAGGGCGGCCGAGGAAGGAACTCACTTGGCCAACACTTTAGTAAAGAAGAGATGAACAAAAATCTTCAAATTGTGAAGAAACAACATCGAGATGGACTACAAGGAGTGAAGCTGAAAAAAGTGGTAGGAAATTTTTTGAGAAGTTTGATAAAAGGTGGCGATAAACACCAGCTGAAGAAGCCAACAAAAAATCATTTCTATAATTCACAATGAAGAGAAAAATGTTCATTACAACTTTATCAACAACATCGAGATGAACTACAAGATATGTTTTAACCCATTCTACCCATTCTACAAGATAAAATAATAATTATTATAAATATATATATATATATATATAGATTTTACTCATCATCATCTAGAGAACATATTTGAATAGATCCATCAAAATTCAACATATTTTCCCATAATGTCATCAAAATCGATGTTGGCAACACATGAAAGACTAGACAAATGTGCTTATAGTTATAACGTTGAAAATAGAACAAGGGATGAAAGATAAAACATACAGTTTCTGTTGGTTACTAGATAGTGTTCAACGCTACAAATCAACCCAGATTGGCCTTATGAATAGTTCATGAAATTGTTTCCTCCCAAAGCTAATCTGAAATATGCTGGATGAGTAGTTCTTTGAACAAATGATAAACAATTAGTATTATCAAGTAAAAGTTAAAGCTAGGCTTAGAAGGCCCTTGGGGACGAGCAGATGAACAATCCATAAACTGGACTAGTAACTCTTTGAACAAAATGATAATTCCATACCTGTGCTATATACCAGTGGAATGATCACCTTGATTACGAAAGGAATGTTGTTGAATTGATGATGACATCAGTGGAATGGAATTGGTCTATTTACAGATCTTCCGATTGAAGGCTGACGTTTCTACCATTATTCCAGTAGCGATTCGGTCAGGTATTTGGCGTAAGGGGCATGAAGGTCCATGCTCATTGTAACTGCTACTCCAAGGAATGCACAAACTGCTGGCACAAGTCCTAAACCATATCTCGTAACCGAAATATAGGTGGCATCGAGAGGATTGTATTTCGAAATGTGTAACGCGGTGTTACCTACATATGGCATGAGATATTACATTGTGTGGAGCCAAACGTATAATTTGGAGTTTGAAGTTTGTGCAAGAAAAACTCACTCTGAAATGATTCCAGAAAGTATAGTGCCAGCCCACATAAGATTTTGTCAAGGAAGCTCAATGAACCGCACACAAATGCACAGCCATTCAGATCCCTTCCAACTAGAACAGTTTGCATGCTCACTCCAGTCACCTGTCGAGTCAAAGTTCAAATAATTCATCATCATCAAAAGGCTGTGAAATATTATTCGTGCATGATCCAATTCTGTAATAGATCTTAAACACATTTTGGCAGCATCAACATTTACATTGTTCCCACTTAACAGGGTAGAATCTAAAGACAAACTGATGATAATATTGACATAAAGGAAAGATTACAGAGGAACCAGAAAATTTTGAGAACTCAAACATTCTTTCAACTTCGAACTCTTCGGGCCTAGTTTCTGAATATTCGCTCTATCTATGGCTAGTAGTATACCCCTTATAACTGTCCTGTCATTACTCCATCTCCAAAACATAACTTGCCTCAAGGTGTTCATGCAGTGACACTTGAGGACCATCACCTTCCCAAATCAACTTCGAACTACATACAACATTGCTCTGTTAGACTTTCGCTCACTGCATAAAGGATTTTTATGCTACCTTCACTCTCATGGCCTCAACGGGAAAATCAAACCGGAATTACACAGTTTACCTGATTTATTTCGTTCTTTATGTTTACTTTAATCTAATTCATTCATCTCCGCTGGTTTTTCATAAGCTTCCCAGTAATTTGAGTTGTTTTTAACTTCTAAACTATTTGGAAAATTTATCCACTATTTTCCCTCCTTTCCAACACTCAAACTCACAGGTACTCTGTTATTCCAATATCATTCAACCATAGCAAAGGCTAAAGAAAGAACTCACATACATCACTTTCTTTTTCAGCAATTAGTCGAAAATTTAACTATCCCACCGTTTACTAATTAGGACTTTAATATATATGCATGAACAAGTGCTTTATCATTTATTCTGGCTCCTCGATAAAATAAATTGTTGCTTGTAAGAAAATTCCTCTTCATATGTCGTAAGCACCAAAGAGATTAATGGAAAGAATGATGCATGAATATAAGGCATACGAATTTAGACATACCACCATTAAAGCATTTGCTACACCAATAACAAAGGACACGACGTACATAAAAGCACTCATGCTTGTGGGTAAAATGAGAATCACCGCACCACAAAACATCCAGAGAATGCCTCCAGCAGAATAGTAGAGCTTCAGGCGTTGGCCAGTCCAAACAACCTCCTATAATATGAACTTAAAAGGTAAACATAATATAGGAACCGGAACTAATCTTTATGCAATAATATATAAGCTTGGTATCGAAAGAGGACCTGAAGAGTTAAAGATATGATGAAGCTGAAGACGTAGATTATTGCAGGAACCTAACCAATCAACAAGACAAAAATTTCACATTGAGTGTATAAGCCTTAACAATTTGAAGAAATTTGATGGCAGGAAAAGTCGTGCAGTACCAAAGCTGTAGCTGACTGCGCCATATGCAGATCGTTAATAACATAATATGCCAGAAATGCCTGAGCATTTTTCCAAAAAAAAAAAGTAGTTAAAAGCTGCATGTATTATCGGTTGCAATTTAAGAAAATCAATTTTCAATTTAGAAATTGTGAAGATGCTGAAGTAAGTTATGACGTACAAGTTGCTACTTTCCCTACATCCCATTAAGATTTAAGCCGAGTTAAAACACATATATTTATCTGACCTTACCCTCATCAATCCTTGGCAGAACACAACAATGGAATTGGAAAAGAAAAGAAAAAAAGCCAATGAGGTTCTAATTGAATACTGAATTTCTAAAATTATAAGACTTTCAGTTGCCATAGATGCATTCTCTTAGTTTACTGAATTTGATATAAAGTTGAAAATAGTCGACATGCCAACAGCAACCATAAAGATTTGGCATAACTGAGGGCTTTATATTTGTTATGAAGGATGACTAAATTTTCCTTTCCTCTTTGTTCATTGAAAAATGTAAGTGCAGTAAAGGAATAAAGAAAGTCGGCTTACCTGTGAAACATTGATAATCAGTCTCGTAAGTACATAAGCAAGAGCAACTTGATAATATAAAACTTTCTTGAACCAATATGACCACGAAATCCTTGCATGCCGATTTCCATGTACAGCAACCTTCAAACTATTTGTTGACCAAGCATCAGTAAGTTCCTTAGCCAACTAAAAATATTTTGAACGCATACAAATAAAGCTGGAAGTCTTGGTAAACAAAGAAAGGACTATTTTAACCAAATGTTCACCTATATTACAATATTGACAACTACGAAATAGCAAATTATCACAAGGTCTGCATTTTTCTTTTTTCTGACCACACCATCAATTCATCTCATCATGGAAAAAAAAGGTAGTTTGAAAAATCTAGGTCTATGGAAATAGAGGCAGGTTTCTCATCACAAAGGTCAATGTTAGCAAGACATGCGTATGCAAATATTAAGGAGAAAAATAAACAAAGATCAATTAAACTCTTTGGCATACCTTGGCTCCTTGGTCCCAACTAGAAATACGACCACAAAGCAGCAGCCAATGAAAATTGAAATATATGCTATCATTCGGTACTGCACGAGTGAAAGAGCACCGATAACAGGCTTGAAGGAAGTTTTTTAAAAGAGAATAACCTTGTAAAATTACATTACCTGATGTTCAATATCTACATGAGATTTTGCCTTCGAGATACTAAACACTAACAAAGCCACTGCATACAGGCTAAGATTTGCAACCTGCAAAAGAAGAACTCAGTTCAACATCTAAGATAGACTCATACAGAGAAGTGCACTAAATACATCAAAACAATGAGAAGTCAGGGCCCTACCATGTTAAAAGCATTGCGGCAACTAGCCAATGCCACTCTACTGGTTGAATTCAGTGTAATACAATTTATCATAGACCTGCGCACAACCAATGCCAGAGCTGAGAACTTCCTTTCGTTTTTTCTTTTAACTTTTTATCTTCTGGGCTGAAAAGACCAAGAACTTTTGAAGTAAAAAATAGGGGATAACTATAGATACTGAATGAGCAGCGGCTTCTTAATGACACCAACTAGCATTGTTCACCTAAACTTTAAAAAGTGCTACCCAAAGAAACATTTCCAAGAAACCTATGAAAGAATTGTAAAAAATTGTTTTTCATATTTAAGAATCGCTGTCCAGTAATTTTCTCAAGACAGAAAACATAGTAAAACTCAAGAAAATAGAGAGATGACCAACCATGATATCAAGTGTTCCTCACCCTTTTTCTGGGAAAAAATATTTTAATTGAAAAGGTCAAATTAAAAAGGGTCGGTCCATACATATGTGAAACCTGAGTGGCTGCCCAACCAACATTAAAGATTGCCGCAAAAAAGCTGTAGCCTACAGTTCGCAATGTTGATGAACTTCGAGAATAGAATATGCACGGTATGCAGCCACCAAAAACAGAAGAAAACGAAACTGCCACTAACATAGATCCTGCACCATGCCATATTTTGAAACGTCCGAACCGGTCTATCTATCATATAAACAAGGAAATTAAAATTATTAAAGTTGTGTGTGATAAAAATGACAACGGTTGTTTTGAATTACTAAGTAATAAACACCTGATCCTGAGTAGTAATAAACCACAAATAGCTCAACAGAAAAAATCAAGACCACCTCATCAAGCACTCACAAACTTCAGTTTAACAGCCAAACTTAAATGTGGTTTATTACATCATTCTCTCATGGGCAAGAATGAATAAATATTTTAGATCATGGTTTATTACATCTTAAATGGAACTTAAGTGAAGACAAGAAGTAACAATCATTCAGAATAATTAATAAAATTAGATCCATACTGTATCTGCAACAACTATAATCTCAATCCTCCAAGTCATAACAAAAAATATATATATATTTAGAAAGGGAAAACAAATATGCCAACAAAGATAAGTGGAAACCCATGAAAGAAATGGACCATAGCTGTCCCGAGTTCAAATGATGCAGCAAACAATAGTATACATATAACATATGGTGAGCTATGGCATACCAGTTCACCAGCAACAATTGTTGTTAACCCATCAGCTACTTGACCCGAAAGCATAACTGTAGCAGCATTCCTAAAAATTTTATGATATGATAGATTTACAATAAGCATGAGAGGTCCTCAACGGAATAATAATGAAAAAACAGAATTGGAGGGGGAAAGCAAAACTCGCGGACACCATATATATTATTAGAAGTAAATTCATCCAATCCTTAAAAGAGTGTGTTGTTACTAATTTTTGGAAAACCTTGATCATGAAAGTTGGTCAGCATGAAATGAAAGGTTGACCAACAAGGACATCTTTCCAGCCAAAGTTACCAACATCACTAAATTCATTCATTGCATTACCAATGTCAAGAAATGTATGTTGATGGTTCTGTGACCTTTAAATCTAGAATTTATTATGTTAACATAAACTTGCAATTCTCTTCCTCCATAGTCTCACTGCGCACTAGCCACTATATTATAATTGAATTCCTGTAAAAGATCCAAAACAACGAATATTTTCCTAGACAAATATGAATACATAATACACGGGTGGAAAATGTCGTACAGCAAAGTGGACTCAATTTTTATATTTAACTTCGAGCAGCCATAAGAACTTAGTTCAAAGTCCTCAAACCTCATAAAGAGCCAATCATCTATTCTAAATGTTTGGCATGAAAAAAACTGAGAGTGGATGGGGGAGATACAAGAACAATAGAAGACACTATAATTAACTAATAGATGGAAGAAGACGAGAGTATGGAAACGTACTACATTTCATATAACATAAGTGAAAAATGTACAAACTACGTAGAAAACAGCAGTTCTCCAGTATCCAAATCAAATCAAATCGAATTGTTGTGTCAAAAGATAAGTACCCCGGAGATAATCCAATATCCGTCAAGAAAAGTAACAGATACGTAAACCAGCAGGCAGCAGTAATGTCATTGAGCATATGCCCCAGACCGAAACAGAATATCGACCATCTTCCGATGGGTTGAGCAAGTGACACAAAACTTTCATCATGATTACTCATGATGGAAATGACAATACCAAACTTGGTTTCCTGAAAAGAAAGAACCAAAAGCTTCAGAATGCAGAATTAAGGTACCAATTCTCAATGTTTATTTAACTTCAAATTTAAGAGGAATTCAATATCATCAACCACATCAAACCTGCTATAGTCCACAGCAGCCGTCCCCAATATGTCGTCTTTTCTTTTACTTCCTTTTCTTTTTCATATGTCACCTTCAGCCTAAGATACCTGATTCAAAAGAAAGAAATAGTAAAATTAATTTGCAGCAAAACAGATTTCCTTGCGATAGAGTTGCCATAAGATCATTTTTCACATCGGCAATATTCTCCCATCAAGATAACCATTGAATAGCTTAGCAATCTTAGCATTCAAAAATTAAACCCGATCCGTCGAGCCAAAAGGGAAAGAACTAACAAAGAAAGAAATGCGCGGGAATTCTTAATTCATAACGAAACTGCTAATGAACTCAAATTTAAAATTCACTGCCTGCAGGCGACTTTAGATCATACAGTTTCAGTATTAATATTACCCGTCAATTCCATAAATTGAATGAGCAGAAAACAAAATCAGACAGCGACCTAATCACAATAAGCCTATTCCGTCCGCTCTTAACTAGTTTCAGGGCCACCAAATGCCACAAAGAAATTTAAGACGGCAAAAATGGACATATACAGACGCCATACAAGAAGCTTTTCTTAAAATAGACGAAAAATCAGTCATGGATAGAAGAATACAGACAGAAGAAGCAAGGAATCAAACGCCCGTGGAAGATAGGCCGAGCTGAAGCCCCTCCAACTGTGGATTATAGCCACAAAAGGAAAGCATTTACACGACACATCCTAGGTCAAGGCTATGTTTGGAATTCTGGAGAAGTGGATACAAAAAGAAATCTACGGAGAACAAGAATCAGCCTCGAATTTATCATCAAACATCGAGTTTGATCTCTTTCTTCATCTGCCCTATTTTACGACCTGTTACACACATTGGAATGCGTGCACCGCCACAGAATACCGATAAGCCATAATATGAATCTGATCTTTGAGAACGTGGCTTTGGAAACAAGACCGAACGATCGAAAAACAAAACTGTCCAATAAAAGACTTCATCAAAGCCAAAAAAGAAAAAGAGAGTTCTGATACCGTCATCACACTTCCTCCTCTTCCGCCGCCACCATCCGCCGAGACGCGTGGAAGAGCTTTGATGATGTGGTGTTTATCAGAAACTGAAACAGGTTAAATCCATCACAAATCTTCATTTGTGGCTTTGAAAATCTTGCTTCTAGAGCTGAGATTGGGACTGGTCCATCGTGGGACCATCATGGTGGCTTTGATCTTCCGTTATCACTAACATTTGCGGCGAGGAATCATTTTCAAATTTAAAGGTTCCGAAAATTGGGATTCATCTAATCTCTTCAACAGAGGATGGCGGGTTCCTTGGAGCACGGAATTGGAAGAACGCGCCTCCAAAATACGACAAATTATTCCTTAAACTAATTTTTTAAATAAGGTTCTAATTTAGGAACAAAAATTCTTCAATTAATAATTTATTTATAAATTTAGTAGGACAAAAATACTCTAATTTCTTCAACACTATTTTTTTTTATTAAAGCATACTCTAATTTCTTCAACACTTCAATTCTTTATAACCCATAGATACATACATATATAAAATTTAAATCTTCCATAATAGAGGTATATTGTTGTTAAATTATACTCATTTTTACAATTTACATCGATATTTCTTCTTTTCACGATGGTTTGATAAGTAATAATATATTTTTTTTCTCACAAAAAAAGAATAATAACAAAAATACTATTTGTCCAAAAAAAATTAAATGGTTAAATCTTTTATTTAAAAATTTTAATAATAAAAAAATATGTGTATTAGCCATTTTATAATTCTATCAGGAAAAAAATGTGATATAAATTTATTTTAAAAGAAAAAAACTAATACTTTAGACATTTATTTTAAAGAAAATGATAGGTCCAATCGCAAAAATATATATGTGATAGAAATTTACTCTTAAAAAACGACATGTGAGATATTTATTTTTACAAAAATAATAAATACGTTGAAGACAGTGTTCTCTCATCCAATGAATTTTAAGATTGTTTGAGAGAACCTTTTTGGACCATTTCTTTTTCCTTTTGTTACATTTAAAATTTTATATTTAAGAGAATTTTGACATCATTTATTAAAGCTATCATACTTATATTTGAATTTTGTGTAATTTTTATGTTTAATGAAATTTTGGATTTTCAATTTTATATCTATATTAAAATTGTACCAGGAATTAAAATTGTAATTTAATATTTAAAAAAAAAAAAAAAAAACAAAAACAAAAACAAAGTATGATTACAAGACACGAAAAATTAAAAAACTAAATAAAAAAAAATAAAAAAAGTGATATACAAATTAAACTAAATCGTGATATAAAAGAAACCGAACCACCAAACACGAAAGTAAAAACGAAACTGGGTCAAAGCCCAAGTTCCTTGAGGCAGAGGCCAACCCTAGGGTCTACCTCACAAGAGACCCGAACCCAACATTCTCTCTGTTCGTATGATCCTAGTCAACCCTAATTTACACATAGATATATTTTCATCCAATTTCAATACCTTTTCCTAACCCTCTAACTAACATAAGTATTTGAGCTTTGTGGGTGGTCAAGCATCACGAGTCCTCGTCTCCTCAAACAAATTTTATTGTTGTTATCACGTAAACGCTATGTTACTTTATTGGTCCCAAATTTGACGCTCTGGACATATATTCCATCTCCAACTCCAAACAACCGTTTAAAAACACGAATTACAATACTAATATTGGAACAGAACACAATAAAATCATGAATAATATACTCAAAACAGTTTAAGAATCCAACAAAAACAAAACCAAAAGAGCTGCAACAACCAAACTCTTCAATGGCAGCCATTTGTTTCCAATGGTGTAAGCTTCCCCCTTATCTGTTCCATTTCTACTGCCTCCTCCACCTGCAATTTTAAAGAACAACACCTTAATTTTGCTTTCCAAACTAAAAAAAAACTGTAGAAAATTGATCATCAAATTACCAGTGGAGCTAATGGCCGGAGAAGGACTTATGGGAGCTGCAGCAGCAGAGGAGCTTTGCGCCTTGCCAAATTGATAGAAAACTTGAGCCTCCGGTGAACTGGGCGGCAAGTTTAATAGAGCTGCAACAACCCCATTTAAAAGAAGAACACGAAGAACACGAAGAACACGAAGAACACGAAGAACGCGGAGTAGTTACCAGGACAATTGGAGACATTGGCAGGGGCGTGGCAGACATCAGGCAGGCCCAAGGCAAGGGTGACATTAATCTGAAGCCCCAAGTCAGGGTCATTTCGGTCTTTCACTATAACGCACAGGCATTTCTTGTTGCTTTTAAGCACGCCCTTCAGCCCACTGCAACAGTCCGGCGTTGGAGCCTTTGCGTCACCGCTCACGTACGCTAGACACGTCGCCATTCCAGCCAATTGCTGCGTGCATTCCTCCCTGTCTTTCTCTGCATCTCCTGCAATAAAGCTCACCGCCGGTGAGGCTAACAGGAGTGCTAACAAAAGCCATTTGCAAGCAAAATGAAAGCCCATTTTCTGTGAATTGAAGAACGCAATGATGAAGAGAGTTTATGGGTTTCCACTTCCTTTTATGCGTGGAAGATGCGAGTGGAAGAGGGGAAAATTGGTGGGATTTCTTTTCTTTATTCTTAATTATTATTATTATTATTATTATATTATATTTTTTTTATATTAAAAAAATATTTAATTTTACAAAAATAATACTTAATTTCTATATATTGTTTTAAATAATGCAATGATTTTGAAAATTAATTTAATTACTTAAATTATAGTGTAGATATGAGATTTAGGGATATAAAAAAAAAATGAAAATTGTTGGACACGTGTCACGATTTGAGGAAGAGGAGGATAGTGGTGGGGGAATCCTTCACCAAACGCACTAGAGCTTAGATAAACAAATGGCTTTAGGTTTCACACGCTGCCTATGTACGTAATACTGACATATGAAACATTTTAATCTTACCTCATTAATCTCGTACTTTATATTTTAAATTTTAATAATTACATATATTCGCTCGAATTTATAAATGTGTTAGTTTAGTTATACGTTAACATAGAACCTTTTTAAACTTTTTATTAATAAAATTTAAGCGCGTTAATACTAAATTTCATGAATAGTTTTTAAATATAATATCAATTATTAAAAATATTTATAAATTTTTTTAAAAAATAAAAAAAAAAAATATTAATGAAATTTGTTCGAAAGATTATTCAAATTTTTTAAAATTTTTAGATATTTTTATTAATTTAGTTAAATATATTGATAATCATCTCCCTCTTATTGGGCCTCACAGTCCATAGTATTACTTTACAAAGCCCAATATGCTATCGCTTATCAAAGCCTATTTTGTCATTATCCGCTCCATATGGCCCATTAAACAGTTTTGGAGCCCTCTCAATCCATTAAAAAGGCAAAATTAAATTTTTAAAATTATGTAACTGAATTTTTAAATTTTAAATTTTAAGTTTAATAAATTTTTAATATATATATATATATATTTTTTTTTTTTTTAATTAAGAAATCTACGTATTAAAAAAAATTATAAACTAATTGAAATTTTATGTGTAGAATGCCACGAATGGATCAATGACTTGTGAAATAAAATAAAAAAAATTGGAAGATTTTTCAAATTTTATAAACATGTTAAACATGCGATTAAAAGTTTATAAATATTTTTTTTAAAGCTCATGAACAAAATTTTTTATATCAATTTGAGATTTTGAATATCATTCTATCATGATCTTTCTTGGTGGGGTCTATTTAGTTTAGCTTTTTCAACACTTTTTCTTCTTCTTGTTGTCTGGGTGTACATTCTGGCAACTCGACAACCTACACCAATTCAAACTCGAACTATAGGGGTTGGGTTGGGTTTGATTAGTATTTCGGGTAGGGTTGGGTTCATTTTTTTGAATCCGAACTAAATTGGTTCGATTTCGGATTCATGGGCAAAACCTTCAAGTTGACTCGAGCCAAATAAAAATATATAAAATATATTAAGAATTTTTTTGTATTAATGGGTTTGGCAAAGTGGTATTGAGTCCAGACAATGTTGAATTGTGGTTTCGGTATTTAATTGTCTTTTAGTTTTATGACAATGTTGAATTGGTGGTTTCGATATTTAATTGTCTTTAGTTTTATGATAATATTGAGCTAGCTATGTTAATAGGTTACAATTTTTGCTCATTATTTTTTTAGTGTATTTATTATATTTTATCTAAAACTGTATTCGAATAATTATAAATTGGGGACAAATAAAACTTAAAAAAAATATTTGACAACCTTTTTTATTGTATTTATTATAGTTTTCTGTTTTTATTTTGTTTTTTTTTATTGTATTTATTATAGTTTATACTGTATTTATTATAATTATAAATTAATTAGGGACAAATAAAACTTAAAAAAAAATATTTGACAACCTTTTTTTAATTGTATTTATTATATTTTATCTAAAATTGTATTCGAATAATTATAAGTAGGGACAAATAAAACTTAAAAAAAATATTTGACAACCCAACCCGAACCCGAAAATAGGATTAGGTTGGGTTACCAATTATAAAGTGGGGCCAAATAAAACTTAAAAAAATATATTTGACAACTTTTTTTTATTGTATTTATTATATTTTATCTAAAATTGTATCCGAATAATTATAAATTGGGGACGAATAAAACTTAAAAAAAAATATTTGACAACCCAACCTGAAAATAGAATTGGGTTGGGTTGGGTTGGATTACCAATTCAACTAACCCGAACTTTTGGGTTAGGTCAAAAAAATCATCGAACCCGGACCATATATACCCCTAGTCGTTGTCACATATATGCTTATTCATTAAGGTTCTTAATTAATCTTTACATATTTTTTTCTCTCTTTTGTAGGCTTTTTTTTTTAAGTGAAGTAGCTTTATGAGTCAGTCATGTGTAGTGGGTGGGATCTGATCGACACACAACACATCGTACCATTTGGGAACCCATTGTTGCATTATTGTCATCCGCATAACATAAAAGTGTCAAACAAAAAGATGCAATGTCCAATCAGGGACCCAAAGTAATGTAAGGAAGCTCGGAGGAGAATTCAAATATTTTTAGATCCCAATTGGAGATGAGAACGAAGCTCGTTACAAATAGTATAAGAGCCAAACACCGGGCGGTGTGCGAACAAGGACGTTGGGCTTGGGCCGTTACAAGTATATGCATATATTGTTACTCTTCATTAGTCAACATAGCCTCCTCGAACAATCTTCCATATATATATATATAATTTTAAAAATTCAAATAAATATTTTATAACATAATAAGCTAAAAATAATCAAGCAAAATAATTGTTTTTTTAAAAAAAGCAAAGTTATATTTTAATTTACCATATAGAAAACTACAAGTGACACAAATTCAAATTAACTTTTTAAAGTTATTTAATCCTTTAATTTTGACCATATTACCCTATGCTTTGAACATTACATTTAAATATACAAAAAAACAAAAATGAAAAATAACTAAGCAACTGCCAACAACCACGTCACAAGAGTAACAGTAATGAAAAGACCAGTCTTCACGTCCATTGACTGACAGGCAGGTAACCTTAAAAAGCCATGAGAGTCACTAATTAACTAATCATAAACACACTTTAATTAATTAAATCATTAATTACAATGACACTTGGCATTGATTTATTGGTTAACACTAGTCCATAATTATTATAAAAAATTCAAAGAAACGTACGTGTAAAATGACGTGGCCATATTTTCCCCACCTGCTCCGGTGTTTTTTGGGCGTTTAATTTTGATCTGACTTTTTCTCTTTTAATTACTTTTCTTAAAAACATGTAACAACGGGATTGCCTCGTATACATGGTAGGTCGGTCGTACGTGGAGCATTTTAATTGGCTAGTAGCTCTGACTCGAATCTCGACCATACAAAGCCATTGTATGCATTATTGGAAGCCTTTTCTTTTATATATATATATATATAAAAGCTCCATATAATTAAAGACCAGTCCCTAAATCTCCTAAAAAAGCTCTCAAACCGCCGTCCATGGCTGCCAACGGAGGCTCCTCCGCCGCAAATTCCCACTCTCAGCCCACTTTCCCTCTTCATCTCTGCTTCTTCTTCCTCATCCTCCTCATGTTCTTGTCCTTCTCTTGGTACTCCAATTACGAGTCGGTTGTCGAAGGCGTCTTTGATCAACTCAAGCTTCTTCTCATCGTCTCGCCGCTCCTCCTCCTCCTCCTCGTCCACTGGCTCTCCAACGCCGGAAACTTTCTTTTACCGGAAAAAGACTCGCTCCACCACGCCGGTGGGACGCCATGGGGCGTCGGGTTCTTGTTGGTTCTTCTCCTTTTCATGATCTCGTACCAGTCCTACTTCCAAGAACGGTGGTTTCCTCTATTGAGCCGGTGATCGGATCGACGAATCGCTGTTGAATGGTGGCGCGACAGGTTTGAGTGATTGTGTATTGGGAAGTTTAATTTGTCGTCTTGTTGTCGTCTAACAATACTTTTTCTAATTATTAATGTAATTAGCTTCTTCTTCTCCTTTTCATTTTATTTTTCATCTAGTAGTAAATATTTAATTCTTTTTCTACGTCAAGTAAATTCCTCTTTAATACGTGTATAAAATATACTATACAACTTTCCTTGAGACCTATGGAGTTCTCGAACGGCCTACTCTTAATCGAGCCTCGATTCCTTCAGTGGAGCCCACGAACAAGTACACTGTTTGTTCGACATTTGAGTCACTTTTGACTAAACCTTCGAAACTCATAACTTCTTTGTTTGATATTTGAAAATTATATTGACATGGGTATGATATTATTCACTTTGAGTATAAAGTATCATGATTTTGCTTTCGATTTTCCCAAAATGCCTCGTTCGAATAAGATAGTATTCCTTACTAATAAATCCATGATTAACTCCTTAATTAGTCGATGTGGGACTCCTTTCTCAACAATCCTCAACACCGATCACAATTACCACCTCAACGTCCTCCAGTTCCTCCGCCTCTTCCAGCAGCTTGCCGATCTATGCTCTTCAACCCCATTACTCCGACCAGTGCCTTCGCTGCTATGGTGATTCCCACCATTAAAGTCTCCTCCACCATGCGTGATGAAAACCGAGTTATAATTTATACTATTTGTAAGGATCAGTAGCTTCCCTGTTCTCATCTTTACCATCCGGATTGTATTCTTCCTTGGCTTTCTAATCATGATTCTTGCCCGCTTTAAGCTTCCATCTGAACACCCTTCTGATCATGTGAGAGGTAGAGGGGCAACTATGGCCTTGTTGAGGGTTGGGGATTGGATGTAACAATCCGAGACCACAACTAGTAGATATTGTCGGTTTAAGTCTGTTACGTAATGTAACACCGTCAGCCTCACAGTTTTACAATGCGTGTATTAGGCATAAGGAATGTTTCGTTCCCCTTTCCAACCGAGGTGAGATCTCACAATTCACTCCTTGGGGGTTCCACTAGCAAATATTATCTCTTTGCATTTTCCTTTTTGGGCTTCCTCAAGGTTATAGAACGCGTCTACTAGAGGGAGGTTCCACACTTTAAGATATGTTTTGTTCCCCTCTTCAATCGATGTAGATCTCCCAGTTTCTAGAATGACTATTGACGATCAATATAGCGCTGCCTAAAAATACAATAAATTTATTCATCATGATTTAGCTTTATATCATATTTGGTTCTGAACTATAAACCATCAGCCAAATTTAGTTTCATCTATAGGAACAATAAATTTCTACGATGGTATAATATTGTTTACTTTGAGCAAAAGTTTTCATCGTTTTAAGTTGTTAGTTTTTTTAAAGAGCCTTGTACCAATAGAGATGATGTCCGTTACTTATATACCTATGATCTTTTCTTTAATTAGTTAACGTGAGACTCCAATACGAAGCAATGAAATTACAAAACTGACCTCGTTAGAGAGGTTCAGTATTAGGGCAAAGCCGCTCAACAAAGAGGGAGAGGAAAGAAAATAAAAGAGACCGAATCATATTGAGAAAGGTTCTATTCTTTCTCTTTGAAGTACCATTTTAAACGTGAGTTGATGTTGGATGTCAGAAGAAATACTAGACGATAGAGGAGTTTGCTCCGTCTCTTAAAGATTCTCAAACCTACCACCACCACCACCATGATACCTAAAATATCAAACATTGTTATCCTGTACGAGACTATTGTTGGAAGCTAGTTCTTTCATTTCATAACGTCTTTCATGGTTTTATGCACCTACTTGGCTCCTCGAGAGTGTAGATTTCTACTTTCTCTAAAACCACCTTAAATATAACGATCTTACTTGAACGGGATCTGTTCTATAAGTTGTACTTTCATATCCTTGAATTTCAAAAAACCGCCTTATATAGGCTTTGATTATCAATGTTACTCGTGAAATATTCAATCAATATGACTTGAATCTAGAAGTTTTCATCTCGACATGCCTATATATCTCATAGACGAGCTAATGTACAAGTCCACATAATTAATTTTATTTTTGGCTAAATTAATAAAAATATCGTACTTAGTATTATACCCTTAATTTTTCAAAATTTTTAATAATATTCCTAAACTTTTTAAAAAAATCTAAGAAATACACTTATTGTTAGTTTCAGATGCAAGTCGTAAGTTCATAAATACTTTTACTGCTAGAATTATGTTTAAAAATTACATATGAAATTAAAAAAAGATTATCTCTAAATATTTTAATATTTCTTTTAAAATTTAACATTTCTTAGGCATATTTCTAAAATATTTTTAAATTTTTAAAAAAGGAAATGTCTAAGATATTTTTATTAATTTTACTTTTTTTAAGTTTGAATTAAAAAATGCAATAATTTTACAAATCTATTTTTACTATATAACTTTATAAGTAGTTGTATATTTCTCATTAGTTTCAAATTATATAATTTTAGTCTAAAATTAGGTCTAAATATTAAAATTTTAATATATAGTTCATAAAGTATATATTATAAATCATGATCTAAAGTAATTTAGTAATGGGCCGAAAATCACTTCAAAATGTGCCTAACTATGAAAGAAAAAAGAAAGAAAAAGATAAAAATAAAAAAGCTCAAACTATATAAAACAAAATAGTATTTTAAAATTTTCCTAATATATATATATATATATATATATATATATATATATTTTGTTGGTATTTTTATAAAAAAATAATTAATAGACACTTGTGATATCAACCAAGATGCACTTTTGCACTTTCCTTTTTCGTTTTACCAATTAATTTTAAATTCCAAAGTTTAGAAGCAAAATTAGGTTGGGATATCTACAATATTTCTTTAAAAACCAAACCATCCAAAACACTTTAAATTCTTTTTTTTTTAAATAAAAAAAAATCAACCTATATAACATTATATTAAAATTTTTCATAAATATAAAACTTCCTAGGGTATTTTTGTTATGAATTTAGGCTAAATTAATAAAAATATCTATTTTAATAATACTTTTAAACTAAAAAAAAAATATTATTGTTAATTTGGGATGAAATATATTAATATTTTTTATTAAAAAATATCTTCGAACCTCAAAAAGATTCATTAATACACTTCAACTTAAAAAAAAAACATATATAAATACTTTTATCAATAGTAGTATGTTTAAACAATAATTATTAAAAATTAAAAATAACATTAACACTATTTACCTTTATTAAAAAAAAGTTAAAAGCTTTCTTACGTCAAAAACTGTCTATCAACATATCATAAATTATTTTAATTTTTAATATTACTCTAGAAAGTTTGTAAGTATTTTTTAAATGTGATGCTAATGGTATAGATATTTCTGAATTTCTTTAAAATGTTAAAAAAAAAAAAAACTTCAAAATTCAAATTATTTTTTAAATAAAGTATTAATGTTTTTTTTTTAATTTTCTTGATTTTAAGGGTAATTTGAGATTTTTTTTGAAACTTTATGAATATTATTAAAAAAAATTAGGTATTTTCATCTGTTATTTGGAACAACTTTTTGGTAAATGGAATCAGAAATGAGGGCATTTTCGGAATGTGTTCGCCCACCTCAGGCATTACGATAGAACCTGCAGGCTCAAGAAGGCATTTGAAGAAATTTCACTCCAATTCCTCGTTTGATTTCCTCTGGGAATAAAGAAGAGAACCGCGAAGCTCGTCAGTTCTCGGATTCTCAATTCAAAATCCACACAAATCGATTTGCGTGCAGCGTCGTGGTTTTTTCTGACTTTCCTGTACGTTTCAATTTCCTGCACTTGATTCCCGTTTGATTCATATCTTCGTTTTCTCTTTTACCTGTTGATAACTCGGATGATGTTCGTTCATCTTCTATATTCGTATATTACTCAACATCTTGTCTGATTTTTTAATTTCCATTTCTTATTGTACGTTTAGTATTTTGCTTGTTCTTCCTGTTTTTTTAGAGCTCAGTGATCTATGTATTTAGCAAGTTGTGGATATGTACTATGCAGATAAGGAATTTTGAGAGTCATGGCGTTCTTCAGAAGTTGGACGGCTCTTTCAAAGCTACGGTCTCGTGTTGTGAGTATATTGCTCGGGATTCTTCCTGTTGTTGGTAATTTGTTAGTTATTTTGACGGTAAAGGTTTTAACGATCTGGAAATTTCCTCGATGCTTCAGGGACAGCAGTCTAATCTCAGTAATTCTGTTAGATGGCTTCAAATGCAGAGCTCACCGGATCTTGTAATATTCTCCACTCACATTAATCTTTATTCATCAATCTTGTTTGGGTAGACTACCGTTTTAAGGCTTTGAGACTTCATTTTGGGGTAGATCTAATAATTATTAATTGTTTAAATCGGACTGTGACGGCTACATTTCCCTGCTAGCCAGAGTTGATAACTGTTGACATTAAGTCTACGTGCATATTTCCAATTGGTTGATCTTTGGCAATTGAGTAGTCAGTTACCTAACAGATGGAATGATTTCTTCTATCCAATAAGTGATTTCTCTTATAAGTTCGGTTTGTCGTGCAGGACCTACAATCTCATTTGAGGGAATTAATTCCAGAACAGCAGGTTTGGTTATCCTAACAGTATTCATTTAATAATTATTTAGCATAGCACTCCCACAATAAATACGAAGGCCTTCGTTCTTATTCTTTAAAGTTTTACACTAACGTCCAAGTTGATTCACTCATCTGCCTTTCATTGAGTATGACCACTTCACTGAAATGGGATGCATGTTTTTGACATAAATTCATCAGGAGATTACTTTAGATGCTTTTTTCCTGTATCCAGTTTGGTTGAAAGTTATTATAAGTCTACAACAGTGTGACTAATTGATTCAATGCATTTACTGCCGACCCTGACCTAATTTTCCCCGATAATTATATAGTTCATTTATATATATTCATAATATGTTTAATGATTATAGGATCGTCTGAAGAAATTCAAAGCAGAACATGGAAAGGTTCAACTGGGCAACATCACTGTTGATATGGTAAGTATATTTGCTGAACTATTCTATATGTTGCTGCTCTCTAACATCGGTGTCATTTAGTCCCATGTGACAAATTCGTTCCAGGGAGCTCTTATGAAAAATAAT